ACACATCCCAATGTACCCAGGATAGTCTTGGTTAACGTGATCCCTTTTATTCCCAAAAGGGTTCCACTCACCCTATTTATATTCCAAAGAATTGAGACTCCCTAATAAATATTTGGTGAAACTGTGGTGAAATGAGAAATACGTGTGGTCTTTGTCCCTGGTGTCTGGCATAGACATCCTAAACCCCTTGCAATTTCCTGAGTGATTAGGAGCTGCTTCTTCTTCTTCTTCTTCTTCTTCTTCTTCTTCTTCTTCTTCTTCTTTGCATCTTTTATTATGCACAATGACCTCTTTTCAACCATACCTGAGTTTATGCTAATAAGATGAGTCTTTGGTGGGCCCCTAGAGAGCTTCCGGAGGGAGACTGGTCCCCAGAGAAACCAACCCTGTGATTATAGGGTTGCAACTTTCAGCCTGGGAACCCACCCGTTGGAACCCTCCCTCTGAGAAAGGAAGAGGGTCTATTACATTCAATCATCAATAACCAATGATTAACCATCATGCCTACAAGGTGGAACTTCCACCAAAACTCCAAAACCCTGCGATTTGGGAGCTTCTGGCTTAGTGAACATATCTAAGTGCCAGGAGGGTGACACACCCCATCTCCTTGGGGACAGAGGCCCCTTCACACTGGATCCTTCAGAACTTCACTCATCTACCTCTTCATCTGGCTGTTTCTTTGTGTCCTTTATGATAAACAGTAATAATAGCAAATATAGCAGTTTCCTGAGTTCTGTGAGTTATTCTTAGCATATTAACAACCCTGAAGGGGGAGAGTCCGTAAGAGAGAGCCCCTGAATCCGTAGCCAAGCCAGACAAAAGTGGGGGTAGCCTGGGGCCCCCGGACTTTAGCCTGGTTCAGTCTCATGGGCCCGAACACGGAAACCAATGGAGTCTCTAGCTCGGGGTGGTTTATGTCAGGATGAGATTGAAATGTTGGACGCCCTGTTGCTGTCAGAGAATGAGAGACAGCCATTTCAAGTGTTCATTCTAGGTCCCCCTAGAAGACCTAAAGTCCCAGACAAATGGTTTGGGACAGACCTGAGTGGCAGACACCAAACCGAAAATCGTCCTTCCCCCTCCCCCACAAGAGCAGCAGTGATCCTGGGCCGCCGCCCGCCCCCTGATACACATCAGGGCTGCCACGTTGCACACTCCCTTGGGTGCCATTCACTGTGTTTCACGCCAAAGGGCGGACCCCATCTTCTTTTAGTTCCTAGGAGGGAGGACCTCAGGATCACATTTCTGGCACCCTCTCTATCTGATCACCCCTGACTCTACATCTCTTAACAATTTTCTTTTCCCCTCCTCAGGTAGTAGATGAGAAGTTTTGCAAACCAGCTGGCTAAAGAGAGGTCTAACTGTGCAACAGGGTGCCAGTGCCCTGTGCTAGTCTTAGTCTTCGGGAGGGAACAAGAGAGTCTCCCTGCCTGAATGCTACCCTATCTATAAGGCCAACCACCTCCACCTCCCTCTGCCCCCTTCTTCTATCTTTTGGGGAGGGTGTGAATCAATTTCATCTTTTCTCAGTAATATTTGTGGGGACATGCACGCTCTGAGGAGGACCTGTATCTACTATCACAGCAAGTGACATGGTTAACACATCTGCCAGAGTCCCGCTGCTCACAAGGAAGAGATCTGAGGCTACCCAGGCCTCTGTTCGTAAGCACCTGTGTTACTCCACAGGAGCCTTCTAGAAATATTAGGTGAGATGTCACTGGGCTCTGGGGTCCTGCATTCAAAATGGAATAGCCATTCATTCATAGACACAGTCGTGTGTTCATTCAACAAATATTTATCAAGTATGGGCCTGTGTTGGGCACTGGGGATTTCAATCTAATCTAATAAAAGAGAAGGAAGAGGCGATCTTATTGGCCTGGTCCAACAGTATTACCTACTTGGAGCCTTTCTCGATCTCTCCTTCACCACCAGCTAGAGTAGATCACCTCCTTCTCTGAGCCCTGATGGTAAACCAGGTTCCTGCCCCTAATAGAGACCTAAGGTTTCAGGGCTTCACTTTCAGCCCTTAGGAATGCTTTTTGGCTACAACTAGCAGAAAACCCATCCACCAGTGGCTTAAATAAAGCAGACACTTACTTCTGTGCCTAATAAGACAAGGAATCTGAGAATCCAGGGTAGGTCAGAGGTCCAGGGAAATCCTTCAAGACCCCAGTCTCTTCCCAATTTTTGGTTCCTTCTTCTTAAGTTGTTAGAGTTTTTTGTTTTGTTTTGTTTTGTATTGTTTTTTGTTGTTCATTTTCACGCCCATCCTCTCAAGGTCATACTATGGCCATAACAGGTGTTAGGTCCTCACACAACATCCTAAAGAAGAAAGAAGGGCCACAAGCAAAAAGGCTTTTCCTTCTGAGGCTCTGTCTTTTTTCTAGGAAATGAGGGTCACAAGCAGACCTCCCCTCTGATTTCTTTGGCCAGAATGGGAGCCAGAAACACTCATAAAGAGGGATGAGATTGCCAGGACTGCCTTAGACATGTGGTGACTTACCCCGGGGCTGGAGAGGAATCACTGCCCTGAACTACACCCCAGGGAAGGAGTGGGGAATGGCCATTGGGCTCTGAAGCCGGCCTACCTGGACCACCTGGTTCCCTTTGCTGGTCAGTCCCTCAGAGCCTCTGCATCTGCAATGCCTGCACCCCTCTTGCAGACACCCAAAGTGGTGGCTCCTCCTCTCTTCTCTCTCCCAGGAATACTGTACTTCCCATAAGGAGCTGGATAGCACTTGATAAATGTTTCTAAGGAAATGACAACCAAAATGGGGGGGAAAAAAGGGGGTTAGTTTAATGGAGGGTATGGGGAGAAGAATGTGGGAGAAATGTGTTCCATTGACTTAGTGAGCAAATAGAACCCAAGAGCAGGAGTTCTTTGCCAGGAGACCATGACTGAGTGTCATGACCCCCTGAAACTGTACAAAGCATTTTGCATCAACGCGTATATGAATTTCAGATGGCGTGTGTCCTTGGTTTCTATGGAATCCTGAAGGGTTCTGTAGCCACCAGAGGACTCGGAAGCCCCACCGCAAATGGCCTACAACACCCCATGGGCACACCAGCTGCCAGCGTCCTAGAGTGACCTGTAACCTGCCTGGGCAGAGCACCCAGAGCTCCCAGGACGCCACTGGAGTCCTACGACTTTCCTCCCAGGGTCACAGACTCCATCTGTTCCATTTTTAAGAGGCCAGTCCAAATGGTGCTATTATTCTGTGTCCCAGCACAGCCTGGAAAGAGTCTCTCACCATGACTCACCACTACTGGCTCCTGAACAATGGTCTGTGGGCTCCATCACTCACGCTTGCTGACCCACGGGACTGGGAAGAGCTGGTTCTAGGTGAGTGGTCGTGTGGGCGGAATCCTGAGGGCAGGGGCGGGGATGGAGGTAGAGCCAGTATCCACCAAGCACATGTACTCTACCCATGTGGAGGGGACAGGAATTTGCTTACAGATGCTGGAGGCTGGCGAGCTACCTGGCAAGTTCCAAGCAGCCTGTGCATGGCCCAAAGCTTGTACGTGGAAGTGGGGGACTGAAAGGAGCCCCTCGCTTCCCTCCCTCGGCAGGCAGCTCCTCCCCACCCATCGGGATGGAGAACAGGCTGCTGCTGAGTCGGCTTCGGGAGGCTGGGTGAGCTAACTGGAGGGTGGCACCCTCTCCCCGTCATCGTTCAGGCTGAGACCAGGCCCAGGAGAGGTGCCTCTCTTCAGCCTCTCCCATCTGCACCTTGGTTAAGCCCTGGACGTCTTACGTGATCTCGGAAAACGTGTCTGGTTCTCAGTTGGTTTCCTTAAAGAGAAAGTTACGGGGCTGGTTTTTACTATTGTTTCCAGTTGGCTCTGATGGCATGAGCTAACTCGGGGAGGGTTCCAGTGAGGATCCCGGGAGGCCGGGGGAGAGGTGCCTGGAGCACTAACGGGGGGCAGGGTGGAGGAAGGGGGCCCGCCCGGGCCTCTGGGCAGCCCCTACCTATGGCTTTCCAACCAGGCTGCTCTCTCCAACCAGAGAGCTTCGCCAGTATCGGGATTTACCCCCTTACCTCCTGACTCCGAACCTTGCAGAGGATGGGACCAGCAGCTCCACCTTTAGAAAGCTCTCCATGAAATTCTGGAGCAGCTGGTGTTGGGACCCAAGATCTGAGCCCACCCAGCATGCCGCTTGCTGACTGTCCCTTTCTAGCTGCTCCATGGCCTGCACCAGGCCAGCACGGGCCCCACTGGGAAAGGAAAGGATAGGCCTTCTGAAGCCAGGAATCTCTCAAAGCAATGGGGTCCAGAGCTCAGCCAGGTCCTCTGAGGGCAGCGGATCTCCGGCTGCCGGCTACCCCAAGGCCACTCAGCCTGCACACATGCGTTGCCCCGCACCGGCAGTCCCCTCTGAGAGGCACCAACCCCAGAGGCACAGGCCTATCAAGACCCTGCGTGGAAATCCATCTGCCATTTAGCTGGCGATACACATGAGACCCAGAGCACTGTACTTATTATCACTGGAGAAAAAAAAATTGAATGGGTTTTTGAATAACCACGGAATGGCTCGCACAGTGTGCAGGAATTCATTATCAAAGTTGGCTCCGCTCCTCGCAGACGTGCCTTTGGCACTCTCGGCTCTGAGATTTGCATTCCTAGATGGAGGAGAGGGCCGCAGACAGCAGGCAGCTGAGACGGTGTGGGCAAGGGAAGGCTTCAGAAGCGGCCCGGGGGTGGGGGGCTGGTTGCCTAGGAGAAAACCTCTATTAGCTGGAATTGTTTAGTTATAATGGCAGAGTCTATGTGGTCTCAGGGAGAAAAAAAAAAAAGGTATCTGTTAGCATTCGTGGAGTGGCCCAGAGTTATATCTGATTCGGTGTCGCAAGGAATCTTTCTCCGGCTCCTGATTCCGCTTTCCTCTGTGGGGTCTTCGGTCTTGGCCAGGCCCACCCAGCGTGGCGGCAGAGATGGTCACTGTGGCTCCGGGCGGATGGGCTACCGGCTTAGCCTCTCCATCCTCTCTGTCCTAGAACATCCAGCAAAAGACTGGAAGGGCCATCTCACTGGCAGGTGTGACATCTCGGAACAAAGCCCAGTGGCCAGGCCTGGTGCTGAGAGGTGAAGTGAGCTCCACTCAACCCATGTGAACTGGCAGGATGGCAAAGGCTTCTCAAGGGAAAATCGGGTGCTGTTATTCAAAGGGCGAGGGCGGATGCTAGGGAGGCACTTGGTGTCCTTCCCAGCCACAGAAGCAATGAAAAGCGCTGGCCCTGCCTTCTCCCATGTTCTATGCTCATTTTCTACTACAGATTTTTCTAGATTGTTATTTCTTTACTCTCCCCCACTGGTTTTGTGCTTTGGGGGAGCAGCCATGACTCCTATTATCCTGACACTAGTCGCTCAACATCTACTGTACAGCAGGTGCTTAATAAACCCTAGTAGAATGGTGTAAATAACACAGAACTGGGATTTTAAAATTCTGGAATTTTATCTTGATTCTGTCCCCAACTTGTATGTAAATTTGGAGGCAAGCCTTCTTCTCCTTGGGTCTCTTTCTGCTATACTAGGTGAGGGGTCAGCAAACTTTCTTTGTAGAGGGCCAGAGAGTAAATATGTTAGGTTATGTGGGCCACAGGGTTCCCAACTACTCAGCTCTGCCATTAAAACACAAGAGCAGAAAAAGGCCATATGTGAATGAACAGGCATTGCTGTGTTCCTATAGCATTTTATTTACAAAAACAGGCGGTGGCCCACATTTGGCATCTCTCTAATATGTGATTTTTTTCCCCTTTCCTTTCCCTATCGCTGTGTGGCAGTCCACTCAAAAATTCAGCAGCTTAAAATAACAGCAATCATTTATTTTGCCCATGAATCTGCAATCTGGGAGACTTGTCCGATATACCTCCTCTCTGCTCCAGGCAGTTGCAGCTGAGGAAGCTCCACGGAAGCTGGAGGAGCCACTTCCAAGACAGTTCGCTCACGTGGTTGGCAGGTGGGTGCTGGCTGTCCGCTGGGAACTCGCGTGGGGCAGGCGGCCGGGGGCTTGATACTGCTTCATGCGGGCTTCTTCATGGGGTTGCCTGGGCCCCAAAAGTTGTTCTCATCCAACAGTTGGGAAGTAGAAGCCGTCAGAGTCTCAAGACCTGAGTTCAGAAGCTGGCGCAGTGGTGGACTATTGGCCAAGTAGTCACAGAGCCCACCTGGATTCAGGGGGAGGACCCACAGTTGCCACCTCTCGCTAGGAGGAATGAACTGCAGGGAAAGAATTTGCCGCCATTTACAACCTACCATAGTGAACTCGAAGGGCCCTGCTAGCTCAGCTGTCCCGTGGCTTGAAGGCTTGGATTCCAGGAACAACTGTCCGATTCCCTAAACTGACTCTGTAAGAGCATCACCGTCCCCCATACCTGAATCCCTCAGGTCCTTCGACCTTCATAAGGTCCCTGCAAGCTGTCCCTCTTCTCCATCCCGGCCGCCACCGCTCAGAGCAGCCTGGATGTTGCAGTGGCCTCTTGGTTCCCGGTCTATCCACATCTGCTTCCAGAATTATCCTCCTAAAGCACTTCCTTGGTGCTCCCTAGTCAAAGTCGTCAGTGACTCCCCCTACCACCTTGGGTTCCACTTCCTTTTCCAGCCTTACTTCTGAATCCTTCTTTGAGGCTGAAAGGTCACATCCTTTACCTGAAATTTCTAATTCCTTCTTCCACCCTTCTTGCTCCTGAAATGTAACCCAGCCTTTTAGAGCCAATTTCCAAAAACCCCTTGATGCTTTTCCTAAGTCTTAGACTCTAATTGTATGGTTCTTGTACGGCACGGGGCCTTCACCATCTAGTCCTCGTCTACTGGTCTCTTTGTTGCTGTCAAATCTATGTCCTTTGGATGAGTTTCCCGCATCCCATTATATCACATATACTTCAGTCACTCTGAATTATTTAGGATCCCTGAAAAGATCGAGCCTTTTGTAGTCCTGGGACCTTGGCCTGTGTTCTTTCCTCCCCCTACAATGCCCTCCTTGCCCTGTCTAGTTGAAACTCAGCTCTAATGCCACCACCTCCATGAAGCCTTCCCTCAATCCCTTCCTCCCCCACAACTGGTTAGGACGCCCTTACTCTGCACCCAGGGACCCCAGTGTTTCCCTTGACCATAGCAGCTATCACCCTGTGCTCATGACACCTTCACAAAAATGTCTGTTTTCTACTAGACTTTGCTGTCTTAGAGGGCAGAAATTTAGGCTTTTTTTTTCTCTAGCAATGCCAATGCCTGGCACAGAGCCTGGCATATAGTTGGCATTCAGCAAGTGTTTATTGGATGGATAAATGTTTGCTCATTACTTTTTAGGCAATTTTGAACAACAGAATAATAGACATTTAAAGTCCAATAACACGCTGGGGAAAAAAAAACCCAAACAGTTGTTAAAGACATGATAAAGAGCTCATATATCTATATTACAAAGATCCTTTATAAGCCAATGAGGAAAAACTTAACCTCTGGAGAACACTATGCTAACAACACAAAGTAGGAAAAAATAAGCACAAATGGCCAATAGGCACATGGAAAAAATGTCCAACAAAGCCTTACAAATTAAACATTATCCCATTTTATGTTTCATATTAGTAAACACGAAAAGTGGCAATAGGTGGTTGGAATGAGGTTGTGCGGAAGGGAGCACTTTGATCCACTGCTAGTAGAGCACCTTAGGCTCATTTTCACATGCTCTAAACATCTTTCACATGTGCAGCCCCTCCTAAGCCACCATTCTGCTCCGAGAATTTTAATTCCAAGGAGTTAATTGGTAATACATGTGCATCTTCGCACCCAGGTCCCATTAATTCCTCAGTATTTTCGGATTGATCGCTCTGCCTCTGAGAACAGACTGACACTACAGTCGCAGGGGCTGACAGTATTTACCGCTCATGGAATCGTACCAATTTAGGGCCAAGAGCAGAAACTCCCCTAGTTTGGTGGTGGTCCAGTTATTGGACAGCAGCTTGGGGGAAGTATTTCTAGGGTTGCTATAATGAAGCTGGTCATGATTTATATAGGGTCAACAAGTTCCATCATCTGCTGTGCCAGTTGGAAAACACCCAGCAATTACTTGAAAGATCACTTTGGGAGGGCAATCCTGGCTTGGCAACTAGAAAAGAAAAGTATTTATTGAGCACCTTCTATGTGCCAAGAAGTTACTCCCATGACTTCATTGTAGCTCTTCTTGGGCAGCCATGATTGTCCTGTTTTACCGATAGAAAGACTAAGATACAGTGTTAAGGAGGAAAACTAACATATGAACCAGGCATGCCCCACTCCACAAGAATTGCCCCTAAATTGCTATGTCCTTAAGAATTCAGCGCTTGGACATGCCGTTCATTGTTTATGCAAAGGAGATTGAGCATAGCTATTCTGGTCCTTCTCCATAAAATTGCGTTGAGTGAAATATTGTACAACACCCAGACACCCACGTTCCGTAGCCTCAAATCATCTCCCAGGTACATAATAATAGCCTATCATTCAAACGGGGAGGAAATAATCCAATTCTGAGCAGGAAGGGTGGAACAGGCTACTGAATGGATTCTCGCTTGGGCCATTTTCTTTTTTTTTTTTTAATTTTTTTTATTTATTTATGATAGTCACACACAGAGAGAGAGAGGCAGAGACACAGGCAGAGGGAGAAGCAGGCTCCATGCACCGGGATCCCGACGTGGGATTCGATCCCGGGTCTCCAGGATCACGCCCTGGGCCAAAGGCAGGCGCCAAACCGCTGCGCCACCCAGGGATCCCAGGGCATTTTCTTTAAAACAAGTTCTAAATCAAGGTACCTGAACATATTGTGATAATTGACTGGGGACAGACTGCCCTGCCCTGGCAGCTTGGAAGGTCCTCTGAAATTATCCCTTTTTGCACATTCTTTTTTTTTTTTAAGAAAATAATAAAATTTATTTTATTTTTTTAAAAAGATTGTATTTATTGATTCATGAGACACACAGAGAGAGGCAAAGACACAGGCAGAGGGAGAACCAGGCTCCATGCAGGGAACCCAATGTGGGACTCGATCCCAGGACACCAGGGTCATGCCCTGGACCGAAGGCAGACGCTCAGCCGCTGAGCCACCCAGGGATCCCTTTTTTGCACATTCTGTAAAATAAACATGCAAGCCCCAATGTGCATTTGCATCCACACCATAAGCAAACAATGATTATTTGGCTGATGCCTCACACCTCCACCCGAGCCACATGTGTTGGTTTTTCTGGCCTCTGAGGGGATCTATGGTGGATGTTCTCGGACTGCACTGAGGTCTAGGACTGGGGTCTGCAGCAAAGAGGAGGGCAAGGAACCATTAGACTAGTTAGAAATGACTTAGGGGGTCTTTTGTTTTATTGTTAGTATTGTTTGGGGGGATCAGTTCAATTCTCTGTTAAACTTTCCAAAAATACTTGGGTTTGGTTTGTTGGAGGTTCAACAAGTACATGTAATTCAATTTGGAACTTTTAAAATTTGTTTAGGTTTGTTTTTGCTTGCTTTGAGTTCAAACACCTGCTTCAGGGATGCCTGGGTGGCTCAGCGGTTGGGCATCTGCCTTCGGCTCAGGGTGTGATCCCGGGTCCTGGGATCGAGTCCCTCATTGGACTCCTTGCACGGAGCCTGCTTCTCTCTCTGCCTGTGTCTCTGCCTCTCTCTGTGTATCTTTCATGAATAAATAAATAAAATCTTTTTAAAAATACCTGCTTCAAAGGTCTGATGAAATGAAATATAAAATAATACACAGACAGACACCCAGCAATAAAGCCAGGCAATATCGTTGTAGCTATTCTTGATAAAATTTAATGGTACCACTCACATCATCTGTCTTCTTTTATCTTCTTGGTATCCCTGCCAATCCCCACTCTAGAGATGGGGAGTTTATTGTAAAAAGTAGTTAACTGACTTGTGGCTTGTCTGACATATCCAGTGGTTCTCAGTCTCCTTGTGGGAGAAGATGCCTTTGAAAACTGGAGTTTGGGGCAGGTCACCTGGAGGGAAAATACTTAAAATGCAGTAATTATGGTATAGTGGCTGCCAGAGTGGGAAGCCATTAAAGGATGCCTTAAGGACTGCTTCCTGGAAGGCACCCCCACCCCTCAACCATGCCCTTCACCACCTACACTCCTATAGTGCCCTGACCAGGCCCCGTATCTAGCCCTGCATTGTCCCATATGGCAGCCACTAGCCACATGCCACCAATGAGCACTTGAGATGCAGCCGTTCTGAACTGAGATGTGCTGTAAGTGTAACGTACACACAGGGTTTTGAAAATGTAGTACAAGGAAGGAAAGTTGGGATCCCTGGGGGGCGCAGCGGTTTGGGGCCTGCCTTTGGCCCAGGGCGCGATCCTGGAGACCCGGGATCGAATCCCACATCAGGCTCCCGGTGCATGGAGCCTGCTTCTCCCTCTGCCTATGTCTCTGCCTCTCTCTCTATCTCTCTGTGACTATCATAAATAAATAAAATTAAAAATAAATAAATATTCAAATTTCTAAAAAAAAAAACAAGGAAGGAAAGGTAACATATCTCAACATTTTTTTTTCTTTTGTTTCCATGTTGAAAGAACACTCTGAATATATTCGGTTAAATAAAATGTCTTACAAAAATTCATTTCACCTGTTTCTTTTAACTTCTTTTAACCAGAAAAGTTAAAATTACGTTACCAGAAAAGTTAGCTACCAGAAAAGTTAAAATTACGTATATTGTTCACGTTCTATTTCTATCGGACCGTGCTGCTCTAGAGTTCAAGTTCTCCCATGTTCCGGAAAATACAGAAAAACACCTCATTAGAGCCGGCTTGATGTTGCCCTTTGCTTTTTACCTGTAACAGGGCAGCGCAAGGGACATGGTTCCTGAAAGATCTCACGTGATTTAAGACAAACCCTGAGCAAGGAAAATGGGTACTGCCGCTTACCTGCTTAAGCCATAAATCAGGAGCATAAGCCCAGAATACAAACCTCCCTTTCCAGCTTGGAA